TGTGTTTGCCCCTGTGCTCCCAGGAAACTGGGCTCCAGGGCCTGCTCTCCCGACACCTCCCAGGAGCAGCCTGCTAGGGAAATCCTACATCAGAATGGGATTGTAGGTGATAGGAATCCGAAAGGTCTTGCGAGCAAAGATCAAGAAGCATGTGAGAGAGGGAAATTGTGTTCTTCTGATGGAGAAGCCGGTTCTTAAGAAATAGGAATCGCGCCCTGGCCAGGTAGCTCAGCTGGTTAGAGCGTCATCCCAATACGCCAGGGTTGTGGGTTCAATCCCCAGCCAGGGCACATGCAACAATCAACCAATGATGCATGAATAAGTAGAACAACAAACCTCTCTCTCCTTCCTGCTCTCCCTCTCTCTCCAAAAATTAATAAACAACAGCCAAAAAGGAAAAAAGAAATAGCAATCCCCGCAGGAGGCGGGGGTGCCTCTCCCAGGGCCTCTCGCATCGGCTGCACTAGATTGCCCGTGGAAGGGGCTGTGTCCTGCACCGGTGACTGGACTGGCCTGCGTTTACCTGGATTTTGCAAGAGCCTCTGAGGTCACCTTCCTGACAGGGTGCTTCGTCTCTGCCCCACCCCACGTGGCTGCCGAGATGCACTCTAGGAAGTGCTCCTGTGCCCTGGCCGGTGTTGCTAACAGCCGGCGCTGGCTCTCCTTCCTTCGTAACAAAGTGAGGACTCCTTCTCCAGCCCGGTTGGTGCGGCTCAGCTGGTTGGGTGTCATCCCATGCACCGAGAGGGCGCCGGTTCAATTCCCAGTCGGGGCACATGCCTGGGTGGCGGGCTCCATTCCCAGTAGGGGGTGTGCAGGAGGCAGCCGATCGATGTTTCTCTCTCATCAGTGTTTCTTTGGATCTCATCGTTAAACCTCATTTCCTTATTATCTCCTCTTTAGTATCCAATACTCTCTTCTTCTCCCTTCCTTTCTCTAAAAAAAAAAAAAAATCAATAAGAACACATGTCTTAAAAAGTTAAAAATAAAACAACAAAAACATAAAACTCCTTCCTGAGGCAAAGCCCTTCACGAGTCGGTCCTGTCACCATCCCAGTCCCACCTAAGCCAGCTGACCAGTTTGGGGACAGCTCCGTGTTCCTAACTAGATGTCCTGCTTCCTCCCTCACACCTTCCACTCCTTCGTGTCCTTCATTTCAGGGAGCGTAGCGAGGCTGTGGTGTCCTGCCACCCGGGGCATCTGGCCTCGTGCTGTGTGTGTTCGGGCAACACGGAAGTCGCGGCCCACTGTTGACTGTTTGAGGCAGCTGATACATGTTAACATCTTAAAAGTATTTCGGGATAAATTAAACAATTGTGAAGAGTTTATATGTAGTCTTGTTACCTGAAAATGAAAATGACTTGGGCTACGGTAGCCAAGAGAAGGGATGAAACGAACCAGTTATTTGCATTCTACGACTAGTTGTCACTGTTGTTGATCTGGTTCGGTTTAAGTGACCTAAAAGAGTGTTGCAGAGCATCTCCCAGGAAGCTGGTCCTGAGGCCACAGGGCGGGGACGCCCACATCCCTGTCATCATCTAGCCAGCACGTCAATGGCAGTACGACACTGAGGAAACGCCAAGTACGAACTGCACGGATACCCGATTATAATACCCAGGCCAGACGCGGGAGGGTATCAGTGAAAACAAGAAGTTGCTGATATTCTTGAACAGTGGTCGGCAAACTCATTAGTCAACAGAGCCAAATACCAACAGTACAATGATTGAAATTTCTTTTGAGAGCCAAATTTTTTAAACTTAAACTATATAGGTAGATACATTGTTATTAACTTAATTAGGGTCCTCCTAAGGCTTAGGAAGAGCCACAATCAAGGGGCCAAAATGCTTCATGTGGCTCGCGAGCCGCAGTTTGCCGACCACGGTTCTTGAAGAAAGGATCACGTTTTGACTGATCATCTTGGAATTCGTTTTTAGAATAGACACACAAATTCATCAATTTTGCCAAACTTTTCTAATTATTCGAAGCTAAGAGATGTCTTTGGAGGTGTTCCGAAGCCCCCACACTTTTATGAGTAAACAGAAGCAAGAGAGTCGTCTTCCCTGGACGGGGTGCAGACATCCCCGCGGTGCCCCAGTGCCGGGCGGCATGCGCTCAGGACACCAGTCTCCTTCTCAGCGCCGCTCTCATTCGCGTGCTGTATTGTGGACGGGTCACTATGTCAATCTACCCGCAAATCCCTTTCAGAAGGACTCGGGCCTGGATGGTGAATGGAGGGTGTTTCCCGCCCTGGGGCTGCACTGTTGAGCTGCTCAGATTTGTATCTGGTTGGGCCCGAATGGCAGGCCGACCACACCAAGCAGACAGAACAGCCTCTGATTGGGGACACAGGTTGTTCCCGGGGAGCGGACGTCCATCCTCCCTGCGAGGCCGAGACCTGCCGGCGGTTTCCGAGCAGCGCGCAGTCTGAAGTTCGGGGCAGTAAAAGGGACCGTGATGGGTCTAATTGTGTGCGGATGTTCATGATGACAGACTCTATGGAGAAGGTGAGCTTCCATGATGCGTGAGGAATAGCTCGAGGAGGAGTTTCTGTAGCTCTGCTTCCCGAGGAGGAGGGCGGCCAGGCAGGACCTGGCGCTGGGCTCTGAGTGTTCCTCCTCGGCTGTCACTGAGCCTGTGGGCGCTTGCTCAGGGCTGCCACACGGATGCGCTTCCCGACAGCAGCCCACGCAGGGGGAGGCCCTTAGGAGGCGGTGGGAGCGGTGGGCGCCTCTGGAGAAGGTGCCCTGGCCCGGGAGGCGGGTCTGGGAAGAGGGTGTCGTTGCCGTGGGCTAACCGCTGCTGGTTGGCCTTGCACATCCCTTCGGCGCAGGGGCCTCCTGGCGTCTGCGTTCTCCAACGCTCATTGCTTCTGGGCTTGAAGATTCTTCTCTCCCCAGAGCATGTTGGATTTTCCTTGCCCTGTTTTAGACAGGGATGGGTACTAGTGTTCTCCCAGAGAAACTGATCCTGCGGACAGTGTGCGAGCCTCCAACAGGGGATGCCTTCGTCGAAAAGGGAGGGACCACGTATCCAGGTTGGATTTGTTCTGTGACCCACGTCACATTCTGTCCGCTGGTCCTCAGCTGGGTGCTCACGTTAAGGAAAGGAAGAAGCTAACAATGTCCTAGCACGTTTGCAAAAATGACCCAAACTGTTAAAAGGAGGAAAATTAGGCATTTTGGACGTGGGTGGCAATTTGATGCTCTATAGAGTTATTGTTCATTGTTTTAGTTGGTACAATACTTGGCCATGTTTAAAGCATGATCATTATATAGAGATATATGCTGACACACTTAAGGATGAAATAATATGATGTCTGGGATTTGCTCTGAAATAATATGGAGGGAGAGGGGGATGGGAACGTGGGTCAGCTAAGAGGAACCGTGAGCTGATCATGTTGAAGCTGTGCCCTGTGTGTGTGGGAACGCACCGTTCTTTCTCTCTGTTTTCCTTAGCATTTAGCACTTTCTACAATAAGAAGCTGAGAAAGTGAAGTCAGAGTTCTAGGGTATCTATGCGTGATGCATGAACCTCCTTCTCCCTGCGGCCCCGTGACTGCAGGGCTGAGGAGAGAGAGGACTGGGATCAGGCTCAGGGCCGGTTCATGGGGGGTGTGAGTGTGTGTGCGCTTGTTTGTATGACTATGTGTTTGGTCATATATGTGCATAGGTCACTGGTGAAGTGACACATGTGAAATGCATATTCAAGTTTATTGGTGCAGACACTTTTTAAAGACTAATGGAATTACTCACGCCTCCTCTCCCTTTTAGAAGTTATGTGGGGACATATAATAGCACTTGAGATGTGGAAATACCTTCAGTTCTCATATTTGTTAGCGAATCCATTAGCAATATATCAGGTAACATGATTCCTTTTGCATAATCATTATAAAAGTTCTGAGAAAGATTGAATAACTTTCCTAAAACACTCATTGAGTTCATAGCGCAGGCAGAAAATAAGACCCTGTTAGTGATTATTTTTAGCTCTCAATTTAGCAATCTTCATGCTGTCCTAACATTCCCTTGAGATTTAGTCACGATTTTTGTTTTTAGTATAACAAAATCAAATACTTTAAAACTTAGGCATCGGGGAGCAACTTCAGATAATGAAGTGCCAACTGGATTTTAGCAGCATTCCTGGCATATTTGTCTTCAGGAGTCAAAGGGAACAGGAAAGAAACGAGGCGGATAAAAGCGGTTTGGTGCCGTGGGCAGGAGCCGGCGTGGCACAGTCAGTGCTGTGGAATCCGGAACTCTGTGGGCCACACCGCCACCGTCCTCTCCCGTCGGTTCCAGCAGATCCTCCGGGCTGAGTTACCGTCCGGAAATCCTCTACTACAGCGAAACCAAACATTTCTGCCCGCGTCTCCAGTGTTTAGTCATCGTGTGTATTCCTCTTACGTTCCGAAACTATCATCCGTGGCCTGTCTCTGAATTACTTTAACGAGCGTGCCTGGCTGAGTTCTGCCGGGAAGCCTGCCCTATCTTTTGACCAGCTACTGTGATATTAGGAGGCATTGTGGAGAGAGTCCTTCTTATAACAGTGTTTTCGAAGTCTAGGCTTCACCCTCTCTGGTTGCACTAACTTCAGTAAAAGGTGAATCTCTTTTACTCTAATCTTTCTGTTATGTTTCACCCACACACACACCACTTTTTAGTTGGAGCAACTTTCTATTATTTCCCTCAACTTCTTCTTTTTTAAAAAACATTTTTATTGATTTCAGAGAGGAAGGGTGGGGGAGAGAGAGATAGAAACATCAGTGATGAGAGAGAATCATTGACCAGCTGCCTCCTGCACGCCCCCTACTGGGGATGGAGCCCACAACCCGGGCATGTGTCCTGATCGGGAATGGAACCATGATCTCCAAGTTCATAGGTCGGTGTTCATGAGCCCGTGCTGGCCGGGCTGCCCAGTAGGCAGAGCACATTTTGTAGCTGTCTGTGGGGAGGGGCTTGGAGGGAGTGCCTAGTTCTGATGAGGAAGAGTCGCCACCTGGCCTGGAGAGTGGGTGTGGACCAGACCGCACGCCTGAGATCCCCAGCCTGGAACGAGGAGCCCAGAGTGAGGGCTGAGTCACAGCCCTATCTTTCCAGGTGTGGTTTATTTCTTTTATTCTGTTTCTGCCGTTCTCACCGTGTCAACACCGAGTTTATCCAAGATTCCATAGGGACAGTCTCTTTTGATTCCATCAGGTCGAATCATGGGCAGGGAACAAAGAAAATCCACAGATTGTCTGTGCTGTGGGTGACCACTAGGTGATCTTGAAGGTGTTTTTGTACCGTGGCAACCCGTGCAGTTGCCATGGGAGCCAGCCAGTTGGCAGGTGGCAGCATCGCAAAAGCCAGACAAAGACCAGCAGTGTGCCTTTCCCCGGTCCAGATGCTGGGGTAGAAGTCGGGAGCTCCTGCCGTCTTCATGAGAGATGGGGCGGGAAAGGACTGTGGCAGTGACACAGCACGGGCGAGTGCTCTTCTGTAGCTGTCGGTGTGAGCTCCTCATTCCGGCCATTGCAGAGCTCAGGCGCAGGGCGCCTCTGCACACAGTAACAGCAGAGGTCTTCGTTCTTGCTGGTCACTGCAGCGAACAGGTACCATAATGTTAGGGTTCCAGTGGCAAATCCCGCTCTGATACGTGGGTTATTCTGCCAGCATTGACCCTCACAGAGCACAGAGGGGGGTAAAACAAGAACAGAGCAAACCCCAAAGTGTGCCTGAGGTCATGTCAGTTGCTGCAGAGGTTTTTGTCCTCCATTTGCCCTTGAACAGACTGAGCCCCTCATTCCGTGTCAGTTGGAACAGCCACATAAGGACAGTTCCTCGGTAGCATGGACCCTTCCGTGGCGATGTTCCTATTAGAGATCAGATGCGGCCCGGCCGGCGTGGCTCAGTGGTTGAGCTTCTACCTGTGAACCAGGAGGTCACGGTTCGATTCCCGGTCAAGGGCACGTGGCCAGGTTTCGGGCTCGATCTTCAGTGGAGGGTGTGCAAGAGGCAGCTGATCAATGATTCTCTCTCATCTTTGATGTTTCTAGCTCTCTCCCTCTCAGACATCAATAAAATATATTTTTTAAAAAGTCAGCTCCAACCACAAAAAGGTGTCAGTAGGAAGGTAAATCCAAGAACTGTCCTCTCTCCCAACGCTGGTCTCTCAGACTCAGATGGATCTTTCTGATTTGAAAGAACCGATGCATTTGAAAGACAATTCCTAGCTTCCCACTGAACAGTGCATTTGCTGGATGACAAATGGGCTCAGAAGGCTCTGGGTCAGTGATGGCGAACCTTTTGAGCTCGGCGTGTCAGCATTTTGAAAAACCCTAACTTAACTCTGGTGCTGTGTCACGTATAGAAATTTTTTGATCTTTGCAACCATAGTAAAACAAAGACTTATATTTTTGATATTGATTTTATATATTTAAGTGCCATTTAACAAAGAAAAATCAACCAAAAAAAATGAGTTCGCGTGTCACCTCTGACACGCGTGTCATAGGTTCACCATCACTGCTCTGGGTTGCCATCTACATGGCTTGCACACAAGCGCCGAGGGAAAAACCAGAAGAAGCCTTGCCCTCGGTGCCCAAACACTTCAGTCCTCCCAGGGGTGCTCAGCAGTCGCCATGGAAAATAAAACCACTGTTTGCACAATTCCTGACCCAGCACTGAAAAGTATGACATGAAAAGCTTATTAAATACCTTACAGACACATATTAACATTCTTATTAATATTAACCATCTTGGTTCAATAAAACTTGTGCCACAAAGAAATAGGACATCTGTGGAGCATTTAAGCGCAGTAATTGGGTCGCAAAAAAATACTGAACAGAGACCGAAACGCACTTGGAAATGTTTACTTTTATTTAAAAACAGAATTCTCAAGTGCCTCTCTGCTTTCTGGTTCCATCCAGGACAAGAATGAAAATACTGAAATGTGGCAGGATTTCTAAGAGAACGAAAGCCAAGAAACACTGAAAACACAGCCTTGAGATTTCCGGTTCAGTTTCCAGGACAAAGATTCATCGTGGGTCTCTGTCATCTCTGCCACACAGAGACCTGGGTCAGCGGGAGCGGGGGCCTCCGAGGGTGGCGGTGCCAGGCCCGGCGCTGGCAGGCCGCTCCCCAGGGTCGTGGCTGGGAGGCCACCTCTCCTCACCAGATCGGCTCCTACTCGTTCCCACAGGAAGCCCTGGAAAATAGTTGGGATTTTTCTTCTCTACGTCCACGCTAGTTCATTCTCAGAGCGCTTCCCGTGTGTGCTTGGAGCCACATGTTGGGTAAAGAAAGGTGGAAGAAGCATTTCACGGCGTTTTCTCCCCCAGGAGCAGTCTCCTATTTTTGTCCAGACAGTGCTTGCTTTTGTTTTGTTTTGCTTTGACACGTGGCTTCTGTAAAAATGTGTCAGTCTTTCCCTTTGAATTTAAGGACTCAACTCAAGGGAATAAAAGCGAACGTGAACGCGTAACTTTTTCATACTGTGAATTTAGTTGCTTTTCACCACCAATCTTACGGCATTCAACTCATGACCTTGTACCTGGTCTATCAGTCGGCCGCACGAAAGAAAGTGAATGGATGACAAAGCCTGTGCCTACTCTGGGCTTCCCGCAGCGCTGTGTTTGTAAATGCCATTTCCTTTTCGTTTGACCTGACTTGGTTCTTCGGCTCGGAGGTGGGGCTCAGTTCAGAAGGGGGCGCATCTGTTGCCGCCAGCACTCTCATCGCACCTCGGCATACGCAGCCAGGAACTGAGACCAAGGAGGAGCCGCAGAGGGAAACAGAGGCAGGAGATTCGGTGGCAGGACAGTGCCTGGGTCTCTGCCTCCCCGTTTGTGTTGGGCCAGAACGCACTGCACAGGCGCCATATTGATTTCTTTGTGGCTGGACGTTGGGTCTGGCCATGTCCTCCATGTCGCTGTGTCTTATGATACTTGCTGGGTTTCTCATAGCCTCCGCCCGATGTCCGCTTTTGCATCCTGCCTTCAGAAAGCAGCCACAGCCTGCTCCCGGGCAATAGAGCTAATAGAGGCAAACTCAGGCCACGCCTTACATCGGAACAGGCTGACCTGTGAGAGGCGGGGCTCAGCAGATGAACCCCCTTGGGCTCAATTCACGGCCCGTTGCGCTCTGTCTTAGCCCACCAGGCGGAGTCACTCTGGAGCAGGTGCAGTGAGGGCAATGGAAGAGCACAGGGGAGCTTCAAGGGGGTTCTTGGTGGTGGGCGAGTCAGGGGGTCCCGGGGGCACCCGGGCTGCTCTCCTCCTCCGGGGCCCTGAGGGCTGCCAGGCCGGAGTCACCTCAGGAGTCATGCATCAAACTGCGTCACTGCCGAGTAGCTCTTCCCCGGTTTCTGAAGCAGGAAAAGAGCAGCCACAAAGCTCCATGGAAACCCCCAGTGGGGCCCGGGAAAGAGCCGTGGCCGGGGGCGCTGCAGGCTCCAGCGCCTCTGCCTCTGTGTTGGAGGCTGAGCTGGAGGACAGGCCATGGCCGCGCCCGGTGGAGAGGAAGGACAGAGGAGGTGGGGACCTCCTGCAGGCGCCCAAGTGGGACCCACAGGGAGCCATCCTAGTGGGCGGGCTCCCTAGAGGGGCACGGCGATTGCGCCACATTCAGAGGT